ACCCCCTGCCCCACGACCCCTGCCCTGGTACCCCTGCCCTGGGACCCCTGCCCGGGATCCCTGCCCTGAGACCTCACCCCGGTGCCCCTGCCCCAGTGCCCCTCTTGTTTTGCATCTCTAGGGGTGCAAAACAACCCCTCTTACTGCCCCTCAGCGCAGGGGAAGGGGAGTCTCTCACGGTACAGAAATACCCTCATGAATCCTTGGTGCTCCTTATTGATCCCCAGCAACCCAGCAGTGTTGGTCACCCCGTCCCTGGGCTGGGGGAAGGGGAGGCTGCCCCAACCCACTGACACGCAGGGTGAGCCCCTGGGCTCCTGCACCTGGTTGGAAGCAGGAGTTGGGCAGTTTGTAGCACAGCTCACAGATAGCCCAGCCCTCAGCCCTGGGGTTACAGATCTGCTCCCCACAGGAAAGGTCCTGTATTTTTCGTGTTCAATTTAAAATATTTCACAGCGGTGCAAGTCTCAGAGATCCGCGTGTGCAGAACAGCTGATGGTTTGCTGGTGTATGTCACACAGGGTCCCAGACTGGTTTGGGTTGGAAGGGACCTTGAAGACCATCCAGTCCCACCCCCCTGCATGGGCAGGGACACCTCCCACCAGCCCAGGCTGCTCCAAGCCCCATCCAACCTGCCCTTCAACACTGCCAGGGATGGGGCAGCCACAGCTTCCCTGGGCAGCCTGGGCCAGGCTCTCACCACCCTCACAGCAAAGAATTTCTTCCTAATGTCCAACCTAAATCTCCCTAGGACTTCTAGTTTTCATGGGGGGCAAGTACCAAATAAACCAAAATAATTTAATATCCAACACAACATTTGCTACTGAAAATAGTGATGTTTTCATGGACTTTATGGTGTAAACTCTTGCATTTCTGTTTGTAGGGCTTGTACCAGGCCTTCTCAACTTAGGGAACACCTGCTTCCTGAACTCCCTGCTGCAGGGCTTGTCCTCCTGTCCCTCTTTCATCAAGTGGCTGGAGGATTTCACAGCAGAGTACAAGAGGGAGCAGACCCAGCCCACTGAGCATCGATACTTGTCAGTCACTCTGCTGCATCTCCTCAGAGGTACTGCAACATTTGCATGTCACCATAAACTCAGACAAAAATATTTAACATAAACGTTAGCATTTCTAGATCTTTTCTCAAGGCAGGAGGTGTGGTCTGGTGTTCTTTTTTAATTTCCCCCTATTAATTTTAAGCTCCTTGACCAAGTTCAACTGACTTCCGCAGAGGAGCAGAGACCCAACCTGTCATTAATTACTGAACAATACAAGTCCCAGCCACATGTGTGCCCAGAGCTGTTGGTTTCTTGGCCAGCAGCTGAAGGGTTTCAGGCCTTGTGTGACTGGCCTGGCAATGGAGAAGCAGCCACCCCAGCATGGTGCACACTGCTCCTGCTTCCCAGCAGGCTGGGCAAATTGAGGGCAACAGGGCTCTGAAAATGTGGCTGTGGGACTCTTTGCCAGGGGGGTTGATACATTTGCTGGGCACAGAGTATGAACAGTTAAAAGAGTGTGAAAATCCACTCAGTAAAACTGAAGGAAACAGGAAGATGTTACCACAATTTGATGGGCACTCAAGAGTTCTACAAAAAAGAAAATTAATGCCTTATAAAGGAATAGAAGCATTTTTTTCCCAAGGTTACTGTTTTACCAAAAATATGGACTGTGAAATGAGACACTTTGCATGATGATAAAAATGTGAAAGCCTCTAAGCCCAATTTTCAGCCCCTTTCAGACTTGCCCCTGTGCTGAATCAATGTATCAGTGACACCCTCTTTCAGCACTCCCCATGCTAAAAGAGCCTGCTCTTGGCTCTCCCTGGCTTTGCTCACAGGGCTTTGTTTTCAAGGAAATCCACTGGGTATTTTCCTGTCTCAGGGTGTTGTTCATGCTAAAATGGTGCCAGAGAAGCACATCCTTTCCCTGATGTAACGCTGGTGGGGCACTGATGTTGTCACATGTTAAGTACCCATTTTCACCCAGTCCACCAGTAAAAAAATTGTCTTTCCAGACAGTGTTGTTATTTATTCTGTCAGTATCAACTGAGAAACATGTCACTTGGCAGATGTACTAGATGAGCAGGATTTATGCAGTCAAATCAGCCCGAGTCAGATGAGACTGGTCACTAATAAGTACTAGTTTGATTGCCACTGTCTTAATCAAGAATAAGACTGCTGTAATCAATTATATGATGTTTAAGGAATGTAAAATCTAAGCTAAAAGTATTTGTGTTCTAACTCTCTGGCTCCTTCTGACGTTTTTAAATGCAATGCCTCCAGCTCTGTCCTGCCAAGAGGTGACAGAAGATGATGTCCTGGATGCAAGCTGCCTGCTGGAAGTGTTAAGGATGTACAGGTGGCAGATCTCCTCGTTTGAAGAGCAGGTGAGTATGGAATTGGGAGTTAGGCTGCCTGGTACACACCTACCTCAGCACTTGGGTGTGGAAGAGCAGAAACTGGAAGATGTGGTGCTAAGAGCCCCGAGTGTCAGATCTGAATCTTTGCTGTAGTGGAAAGTTTGCTTTAAGAAGTGAAGGGAAAAAACCCAGTGATAGATTAATGGTATTTGCAGTTGGCTTAGATACTTGTTATGGAGACCTTGGCTGCTTCAAACCCTTGTACTTAATTACCTTCAGATTTGGTACAACAGAGCCAGTAATATTAAAACAGAAGAGCCCTGGCTGTGCTGTGATGATGGTCTGTGCTAACGTGCCAGGCTGCTCTGAGGGAGGGACTGTGAGTTACATGTAACACAGGATTGCTAATTCTTGATTTCAGTATTTTCAGCCCCTAAGTGCAGCTGGCTGACAAACTCAAACAATTATCTCACTCATAAAACATGGTCCTATCTTTTATATTTCAGAGCCAGAGCAAACAGCAGAGATTTCAACCACACTTTGCTGAAATCAAGGAGAGCAGGCGTTTGTGCATCCGTTTTCCTTTTTCTCTCCAAGTACTTTAGTCTCTTTGGAGTTTATATGGCCCAGAATATTTTCAGCACTGTGTGCTGTTTTGAACTTCAGCTTTATAGAAAAAGCTTTTTGGCCAAACTGCAGTGGATGCACAAATGATCTGTGTAACCATTAGCACATCAGCTGGGCTCGAAGCAGTGATTTTTCCCTTGAATTTCCCCCTGCGATGATACAGTCATATATGTACCAGTCCTGGCATATGTTTGGATCTCTTTTGGCTTTGCTTCCTCAAAGTCTTATGCCTCTGTTGAACAGGATGCTCATGAACTGTTTCATGTCCTTACCTCTTCACTGGAAGATGAGAGGGATCACCAGCCCCGTGAGACCCATTTGTTCGACGTGCATTCGCTGGAGGTGACTTCTTTACCCAAGTCATGGCCTTTTCACAAGTTCCATGGTCTGCCTGCAGCCCCGAGTGGGTCAAGTATAAAGGGGCTGTTCAGAAACTGAAGATATTTTCATTATGTTTACAAAGCTGCTCTTTAGTACTCTGAGAGAAATGGATCAATGGGCCAGGCAACCTGAAGAAGAGAAAAATTGTTTTCGTAAGCAAATGTATTTTAATTCCCAGGGATCCCACTCTGGTGAGGGCTTTTGCATTCCTAAATCCATGGAATGATGGCATTGAAATAGCAGCATGGAACAGCAGTCCATCTAAGCAGTTACTCTTGTCCATAAGAGTTGGTCCATAAGAGTTGACACATGAAAGAAGTTTGAAAACTGCAAAATGGACATTTATGGAATAACTTGTTTGGAGGTGAAATGTATCTTATCCTCCAGTTTAGTGGCAGATGGGAAGTTTTTCTTTCTTTTTGTCTAAAATACATACAAAACGTTTATAAAATCTGTTACACTTTTATTTAGTACTCTGTGGCAAAGGATGTGCAGATTAATTGTTCATTTTATTAGAAGTGTTCTTTTTGTCAATTATAAATGTGTTGTGTACCCTTTTTTTTGGCCTTCCTCAAACATAAAGAGACACTAAAACTCCCACAATAGCTCTAATGTCAGAGAAGGATATTAGGGGTGAAATAGGTACATATTTAATAAACACTTAATGCTTTCTGAGGTAGGGTTGATAAAATCTTTTCTCTTTCTCTGCAGCAACCAGAAATAACCCAAAAGCAAATAATCTGCAGAACAAGAGGTATGCTTTTTTCCATTCTGCAATATGAGTATTAATAGTGAACTTGCTTTATTTATTAAGGGGATAATATGAGTTAATCTTTGTCAGTATTGGACTGAAATAGAGTTCTGCAGCTGCAAAAGAAAATTAATTATTAGTCAGTGGGGCAGAACATGTTTTAGAGTTACTTCTGTCAGTGGGAGAGAAGAGGTTTTTTACAGTTACTTTTGTGACTGGGGGACAAAAATGTGGGATTGTAGTGATGAACAGGGATGTATTGAAAATAAAAGGGCAATTTCAAGGTTCTGTTTCAGGCTCTCTTCCTCCTGTGTCAAACCACTGGAAATCTCAGCATCCCTTTCACGGAAGGCTGACCAGCAACATGGTTTGCAAACACTGTGAGCACCAGGTATGAGAAAGTGTGTGTACAGTGAAGTATGTGGGGATAACAGCTGTCTTTTCAGGCAGAACAGCAGCTGTGGTGTCAGTGTGCAGTGCCACAGCCACTCACATGGGTCGTGTGTCCAGGTGAGCTGTTCAGCCAGCACGCAGCACTGAGACTGCCCAGGCGGAGCCAAATTCAGTGGCAGCCCAGTTATCCAGAGTCAGGAGATGAAGGAAACCTGGAGAAAGAAAAAAACAACAACAAAACAACAAAGTAAATCTCATTTGTAGATCAAACTGTAAGAGCACAATTCCTACTTTTACATTTCAAAACTTTGCCACCAAATGTAAGTGGCAGAAGCAGGCTAAGCAGCACCTGGTGGGCTTGTGTTTTGGCCCTTTCTCACCAGATCATTGTGGACAGCAGAGGGCGAATGTTCACCTCGTGTGAGGCCGGGCTGTGGGGTTTTTTTGGGCTGTCACAAGTCGTAGCTCACTGAGTGTGTGTGGAATATTCTCTTGCAGAGCCCTGTGAGGTATGATACCTTTGACAGTCTCTCCCTGAGCATCCCAGCAGCCGTGTGGGTACGTAGTCCTGCCTGGCAGCCTGCCTTGCCCCACAGCTTCCTCTTCACTGCTGCCTTTTCAAGATGCTACAGCCCAAGTGTATATCAGTAACTGCAGTTTATTGCCTTTTTATAAAGGCTCCTGTTGTGCTACTACAGTTCCTTATTACTCGTGTGTTGGTACAAATCGCCAGTGAGGGCAGCAAGCAAGGCTTTGTTGACACCAGGAGAGCTTTTCTCTTTCTCCTAGTGGAGTATTTTGTCCTTTCTGTGTAATTTGAAGAGACCAGATCATATCCCAAGGGCTTTCTGGCAGTCTTGGAAGGTGACCTTTGGGTGCTTTTCCTAACTGCTGATAGCACAGGAGTTACCCAATACAGGCTTCCGGATAAAGTGATTTCAACTGGAAGCTGTTTCCTTTTCTTTTTGGCTCTCTGAAAAACTTGGAATGACAAAACACTGTAGATTTTGGGGGCAAAATACGCAGGATATTTTTGAACTATAACGGTGCCTTTCTTAATGTCTGCTGGTGATTTGTCTTTCCAGACAAGCAGCAACTACTTGCATTCCTGGAAACTGTGACTCGTTCCTACGGAATGCGCTTGGCACAGCTGGGATTGGGATCTGGACACAGCTTTTGCTTTTGGTGTTTTGTTTTATACTATCATTGAAGATTATTAAGTGTTCAAGGGCAGGTTGGATGGGGCTTGGAGCAACCTGGTCTAGTGGGAGGTGTCCCTGCCCACGCAGGGGAGTTGGATCCTGATGATTTTTAAGGTCCCTTTCAACCCAAACCAGTCTGTGTTTCTGCAGTTATGCCCTTGAGACTTGGCACTGTGTAGTACAGCCTGCAAGGATGCATAGGAAGGAGTGCCTAAATTCAATTCAATGCTCTGTTTTTCCTATGTGTAGGGTCAGAGTGCATGAAGTGTAGGAACTTTAGAGGAAAACAGGAACAGGGCAGGAATCTGCAGTTTAAACCCCCACTAAAGGAGCTGCACGGGGAGTCATGGCCTTTGTTCTTACCTACAGGCTGTGATGTTTTCTATGTTTAATCCAGGCTGTGGATGTACCCCCATAGTGACATTATCAGTGTTCTGTACTCAAAGCCATTTAGTCAGTTTTCTCAAGAAATAAGTCTGCATTTCTCTAGTTCCTGAAGTCCTTTCACAAAATGAAGTGGCAGGTACCCTAACATTACTGCTCATAATTGTGATTTTTGTACTAAGGGTCGTCCTATGACACTGGACCACTGCCTCCATCACTTCATCTCCTCTGAATCTGTGAAGGATGTTGTGTGTGACAACTGCACTAAAGTATGTCATTTTTATTTTTATAACCTTCCAGCTCAGTGTGAAGCCTGCTGAGAGAGCTGTGCCTTCAGTGTTCTGCTCCTTTTGTTCTACTCCTTGGCCTGCCTGGGATTTCTTCTTATTAAAAATGAAGTTCTTATTCCACAGAATATCTTAAAGCTTCATTTATTACTAAGATTACAATACTTTGTTGTGTAATTACCAGGAATTATTTAGATAATATTTGGGATAATTTTTTTTGTTCTGCTGTTTTGAACAGTGTTGTCCAGTTGCCTGTGAGTTGGTGGTAGCACAGAGCCCAAGTGGCTTGTCTGAAACCCAGCACCAGTGAGGTGGCTACACATAAACCTGGGGACTGGGCTTGTTCTGTAAATGCTCATTTCTGCTTGATTTGGGTTTAGAATCCTGATCCACTAGGACAGACCAACTTAAGAAAGTTCCTAGAAAACTTCAGGTGTAATTAATGTACTGGGAATAGTTCTAGATGGACAGTGGCTTTTGTCTGTAGTGTGCAGACCTGCACTCTTGGGTGCAGTCTGATAATCCAATGGCTTCATTTTTTTTTTCCTTTGATTTCAGATTCAAGCAGAAGGGACTCTGAAGGGACAGAGCATAGAAAACCAGAGAACAACATTTGTTAAACAATTAAAGTTAGGAAAGGTGAGGCAAACCACCCTCCAAATCTATTTTTAAATCCTACTATACATAGTTTCTTGTTTTGATCTCTTTGCTTGATGTCCACTTCTTCATATTAGAAGAATGCTTTACTTTAAAAAGTTAGCTAATTTGTCAAATTTGTAGGCATAGAGGCCTCAACTGAGCAAAATGTCCAACTCTGTAGCTTAAAGAATGTGAATATTCTAGTGTTATTCAGCAAAACACTGAAGGGTGAGCTTGGCTCAGAGGCAGTTCATGTGTCGATGCCCTTGGTAAGTGAGGTGGTTTGGGTGCACACTGGGGTGTTTAGCAGCTGCACCTTCCAAATACATTAAAATGTTCTGGATACAGCTGGTTTAAACAAGTGAATATGGTGCTGAATATCAGGTGTAGTTTATATTGGAAGCTTTTCTTATTTTTTGCTCTGCAATCATATAATGCAGAGGACAACAGGGCACAGGTCTGCCGTTCAGAGCCTCAGGTGCCATTAATAATAATATGCATTTATTGATAGAGGTTAATCCTGGCATGACTGTGAATGTCAGATATTTATAACCCCTTGACCTTTTTTTTTTTCCCCCTGGTACTCTCTCTGTGCAAAGCAATGACTTACTGAGTATCAGCAAATATCTTACAACCTGCAACAGACTCCTCATTTCTGCCTCACAGATCAACAAGCTCAGTGAGATTGACAGGTGGGCTTCACAGGAACATGCATTTATTTTAACTGATTTTACTGCCATTTGGAGAAAACAAGGAACATGAGCTCTCTATCCTGCTGCCCTGTGAGTGAGCAGTAGTGGCATTAGCAGGAATTGCAAGAGAGTTGGGAGTGTCCTGTCTTGGGGACACTATTGCCAATGAGCTTACAGGCAGATAGAGCAGCACATAAGTGCACAGGTCAGTGATGTATTTCCTCATCCACTGGACTTACCAGTTTGGTTAGTGTGCTTTTACCTTGAAGAGCTGTTTCTCTTAATTGAAAATGTATTTTGACTCTCCTTTTCCATGGAATATTGCTGAAGCTCCCTCAGTGTTTGTGCATCCACCTGCAAAGGCTGAGCTGGTCCAACCAAGGCACTCCCCTGAAACGACACGAACACGTGCAGTTCAATGAGTTCCTCATCATGGACATCTACAAATACCACATTCCTGTTCATAAATCAAGCCAGAATGAGCTGAACCAGAAAAACTCTGAAGAGACAGCACCTGGAACAAAGGATGGGATAGCAGTGAAACCTTCTTCAGGTACTTATTTTGAAAATAAGATCAGGTATTTCTACGTGTCAGTGATAAAACATTCTAGGCTGCAGAATGAATGTAGGAGCAGTATCTTGGTTTGGATCTGTGCAAAGACAAGTAGAAATTCCTTTCCCACCAAGCACTGGGGTTCCCTGCTCCAAATTTACAGATCAGTTTTGAGAATTTAATTTGATCCTACTAAATACTAAAAAAACTTACAAACAAGCAATGAAATCCCAGTTTGTCTAGAAGTCACATGTTTTATGTACAAGGGATGAAGGAATGTTGAACTTGGGAAGTCCCAGGGATTATTTTGTTAGTGATCTCTTCTCAGGCTTCAGGACAAGCAGAGAAAGAATGCTGGGAATGGTGGTTTCTTAAAAACCAATCAAAATCTCACTGTAGGAGGTCTCTCCTTTAGGCAGCTCAACTGCTCAGTTTGGGTTGGGTAAATATGGTTATTTTCATATTCCTGTCATGTACAAACAATGACCACTGTGCTGATATGATCTGATACTCCCCTGCATCTCCTAAGGGACTGTGCTATGTCATGAATCAAACCAAGTGAAACAGTTTCATGTTGGGAGGCAGGGCAGGAACAGCAGCAGGGTTGTTACCAATCCTAACTAGCACTCCAGTTCATGGCTGTCTGCTCCCTCCTGCAGATGCAGACCAGCCACCTGGCACTAAGCCCCTCTTCAGGAACGGTGCCTGCTCCTCTTCATTTTTAATGTCCTCGGGAACTTTTCCATTTGCTGCATTCCCTGAATGCAGGTAAGTTAGGGATTTGTACCCTGTCTTGTCATTTCTGTCCCTTCAATTTACCTCGTGTCCAATCGGAATCTCCTCAGGAGCAACTTGTGCCTGTTGCTCCTTCTGTTTTCCATGTGACTCCTTGGTAAACAGGGAATCTCCACCTTCTTGGCAGCCAGCCTTTAAGTACTGGAACATTGTAATAAGGTCTCCCTGAGAACCTTCTTTTCTCCAGGCTGAACAAACCCAGTTTTCTCAGCCTCTCCTCACATAGCAGGTCCTCCAGCCCCCTGATCATCCTTGTGGCCCTTCTCTGGAACCCTCTCCAGCCTGTCCCATCCTTTTTGTAGAGCAGGACCCAGAACTGAAGGCAACACTCCAGGTCTGACCAGCGCCGAGTAGAGCAGGATGGTGACTTCTTGCTCTCTGCTGGTGGTGCAAGCCCAGCTCCCGGTGTGTGTGTTGCTGACCCTCTCCTCTCTCTGCCCGCAGTTCCCCCGTGTACCTGTACCGCCTGATGGCGGTTGTGGTCCATCACGGAGACATGCACTCGGGACACTTTGTGACTTACCGCCGCTCCCCGCCGCCCCCCAGGAGCCCCCTCCCGGTCAGCAGCCAGTGGCTGTGGGTGTCGGATGACACGGTGCGCAGGGCCAGCCTGCAGGAGGTCCTTGCTGCCAGCGCCTACTTGCTGTTCTACGAGCGCGTCCACCCGCGGGCGCAGCACCCGAGCGCAGAGCCCCGCGCTGAGCAGTGATGGACAGGGAAGGACAGAACCTGGCACGATTCCTCTCGTGAGATCACAGTTGCACCTCCTGTCTGTTATGCAAATAACCCACCACAGGCCCTTTAACTCCCCCCCGACCCTGTGGCAGTGGCTGGCTCCTGCTGGGAGTTGTGTTGGTACCAAAACGTCACCGCCCAGAGGTGGTCTTGCCCAGAGCCCGGGTTAGAGAAGCATTTATTCTGTTAGGTAGTAATTTTGTCAACATCAGAGCTGTGAAACAGACATTTCAAACAGACTTCCTCAGGCTGTGTTCCATCTTCTGACAGGAATGTACATTTCAAAGGGAGATGCTTGAATCCCATACATTTCAGCGCAGACGTTTCTGAGCAGGGGAGCCCCAGGAGCAGCTCATGGGAAGCTGCTGCCATCAAAGGCAATGATTGCAGAAACAAAGTGCCTTCAGCTTATTTGAACAGCAGCATTACCAATGTCTGAGTCTGCTGCATGTCCATTGTATTCTGGTAAATGCCTCCAGATGATGGGATGAACTGCTAACAGATCAGCTGTCTGCTGAGCTCCCAGCTGATCAGCACAGCAGAGCATCCCTACATAACCTGCATCATCAAAAAACTACTTCCCTGCTTGTGTCATTTTCCTAATATTTCAGTTCTTTACACATCATGGAAGTATTTCTGCTGATTCAAAGTGCAGTTCCTTTTTCTAGGGGAAAAGGTCATTTTTTTGTCCATTAAGAGCCAAGACTCCGATTTGTTGCTCTGTTCCTTTGGAATGTAGCTGGAATGGGGAGCCAGGGGTGTTTGCCAGCAAACACTATTGTCATTTCCTTCATCACTACCAACTGTTGAATACAGTTGCTTGTAGCATCGACTACAACTTTTAATGCTGTGATTTCAAGGCTGCTATCATTGGTGTTCTAGACTTGCCCTTTCTGTTTAATGCTGAAAACTGCCATTTCTCATCAATCTCATCATTTCTCATTCAGATACACACCATCAGGCTTCAGTGCTGGTGCAGGTGGTGGCTGTGAGCACAGATGTGCAGCAACCCAACACCTGTGGAAGGTGGGGGACACACCAGGGAGCCCAGGCTGCTGGGCCTCACTTGTCCTGAGGAGCCACACAGAAGTGGGACAAGACCAGTGTCACTGCACTGGATATACAGATTACCATGCAAGGAAGGTGCACTTTGCTGCTTTAGATTGTTTGGTGTCTAAAATTAAAAGAAATCCCAAACAAAGGGAGAAAGAAGCAGCAAAAATTATCCTTCTGACTGCTTTTAAATTACCAGGAATAAAGTATACAGGCTATTTTTAGCTCTTTTCTATCCTTGTAAGCTTGGAGGAAAATAAAGACTAATTCATCCAATGAGCTGTTGCAGAGTAAAACAGCAACCAAATTTTCAAATGGTAATAACTCTTGTAATGGTTTTTTAGGGTGACTTTCATCTATTCATATTACTGCACAAACCTCACAGGCACCGAGTTCCTTAACAGGAGGCTCAAAACCAGCCAAAACAGGAGTGCTGATGGATGGATGTGAAAAACTATTTACACAACTCATCATTCCAGGGTATGGATCATAATTTCTGCTACAAGTAATGCTCATAGTACATCAAATAGTCTTTATAAATCCATGGATGTACTAATTCCTGAGAAGTGTCCCTGTCTGGGCTAGCAGTAGCATGGTTTTCACCTTCCTGTTTTAAGTTATGGAAAAACAAGAAGAAAACAAAAAAAGCCTATGAGGATGCAAAATGCCAAAACGTTCTGGCTGTTGAACTAAGACCTAGCAGACTTGCAGAAGGTAAGAGGAGAAAGCCCTCCATTCTGGGCAGCAGGAGCTCTGTAAAGCAGTGCTGGCTGTCACCTAGGGAAAAACATCACGCAAAGCATCTAGCCCCAGCAGGTCTGCCACTGGCACCTCAGAACTCCAAACCATTCCCACTGCCAGCAGTGTCTGTTCTGCAATACCTGTTCTCAGTGGGGTCTGTTGAGAGTTTTTTATCTCTGAATTTTTGTCAAGTTCATCTGAACAGGTCACTTTGTTCAGTAAGCAGCAATGCTGGCTATGGGCCAGAACACACGTGCACAACGGGCCGAGGCTGGAGCTCATCAGCTTGTAACAGGGACGTGAAGCCACACGCTGCAAACTTGCTTGTTTAAACTATTTACCTGTTGCATTTGAGCTGCTTTCCAACGGGGGTGAGTTTGATGGGAATGAAAGCACAGTTGCTGCACAGCACTCATAAACTATTCCCTTTCACTCAGCTGCATTGACTCTGACTGCTTTCTCAAGGGCTGTAAAGACAAAGGTTAAATAGTCTGTGTTGGTTCTAGCTTTCCTTGGTAGGATGGAGTAGACCAGTCTTGGTTTGTGAGGAAGGAAGCAAGTATCAGGTCCTGGTCCTGAGCTGTGCTGGATATTCCCAGCCTGCTGTGAGCAGGAAAGGCCTCTGCAAGTGTCTGCCACCCCACCCTCCCCTCCTGGAGCCCCTGGGTGCTGTGCGGCCACGTGAGGCTTCTCTAACGCTCTTGTTTGTTGTTCACAAGCTGCCGTGCTGGAGGAGGTGTTAATAAAATGTCAAAGGTTAAAAACCATCAGATAAGACCTCCAAGATGACATCTCTGTGTTTGGATTATCCTTGTCTTATTTTGTGGATTATTTAAAAGTGTAAGATACTTCAGTCAAACGACTGCACTGCTGTTTGAAGTTGAGTTTTCACTTCAGGGCATTTTTGTAACTGTACAGTAGCAATAAATGAACAGACTTAAAAGAAAAAGGAGCTGTTCCCATGTGGTAATGTCTTGAAACAAAGACCAAGCTATAAGCCAAACCATGTTTGGTGTATCTGACAGAAGCAGCTCCTTACATTCTCTTCATAAGACATTGATGCAGGAGCTCCTCTCACTACACAGAGCATTTTCTGGTAGTGGCAGAGGGTGGGAAGTACCAACCCCAAACTGTCTAAACAGACATTGATTCCATACCCCTAATGGACCTAGCACTGAGGGACAGAGCCCACCAATAGCTCAGGTGCTTGTAGCCTGGCTACGTGGGGCTCAGTTCACATTCTGGCTCAACTCAGCACTGCTTGATTCCACTGACTGTGGGTGGTCCTTCCTCATTTCAGC